TATATATATATATATATATTTATATATAAACTTGATAAGTAGTTTTTCGAGCCAAAACGAGCCGAACACCAACGAACACATCTTAGTTCGTGTTCGGCTCGTTGACTTATCGAACGAAATTAACGAGCCAAACACGAGCTTATTAACGAGCCGAACACGAGTTGTTAGCGAACAACGAGCCATTTTGACAGCCCTAGCGGCAATTGAGATGAGGCGACCCATAATGGAAAGGGTTAGAGCAAGTGCTATATTTTTATTTTGTTTTCATATTATGAATGGTATATGCGTAAATAGTGAAAATTATGTATTAAACATATAAAGTTTATATTTTAATTGATAATTATGTAAATCCATCATTTAATTTTTCTTTTCATGTTGCAGGTAGGGGTGTAAATGAGCCGAACAGAGCCCAGACTCAGCTCGTGTTCGGCTCGTTTATATTTCGAGCTCAAAAATTGTGTTCATGATCGGCTCGTTTGCTTAGCGAGCCAAACACGACCCGTACACGAACACATAGTCGTTTTGACAACACTAATCATGTAGTCATAAGATGTTAAGGATTGGGGCAAGATTTAAAAATTATTGTTTATATTAAAACATCATTTAAATTTAATTTAATAAATTTATTTTATTTTCTTAGCTAATACTTGATTATAAATCTTTGTAATTTTGTAGTTAATTAATTTTTTTAAAAAATACTTCCCATCAAATATATATATTTTGATTAGTAGCAAAATGAGTCGAATACGAACGAACAAATCTTTAGTAGTGTTGTTCGTGTTTGACTCATTAACAACTTAGAGAAGAAGCCGAACAAAAGCTTCTTAACGAGTCAAAATCAAGCTCTTCTCGAACAACAAGCCCTTTTGACAGACCTAATTGCAGGCCAACAAGATACAGTAAAAAAGCTGATAAAGAAAAAAAAAATACCTGGAGAAGATCTAGTAGGCTGGACTGCTGCTTCTCGATCTGAACTAGCTGCATCCGAATCAAAAACAAATCACTCTCCTTCTGTTCTGCCATCAGCTCATCACCAGTTTCACAACTCATTTCCGAGCTCCCATTCTCCTGCAATGGCATCACTCTAATCCCAGACTTCATCCCATCCATCTTCTTCTCCTCACAGTTCCTCTCAAAAAGCACTCTTCTGGTTTCCAGCTTAGATCTTCCATTGCCATCTCCATCAGCTCTTCCTTGCTCCCCAAGCTTCCCGCCATTGATCTCCTTGATTCCTTCATCAGGTAGAACAGAGATCTCAATCCTCCAATCTGAATTCTTCTTCGCTTGATTCATCCTCCTTAACAGAGCCGAATTTAGCTTCAGGTCACTGCTTAAACGAACAGCATTCTTTGCAGAAGAAGGAATTGGAGTTGCAGTAGGAGGAGGTGATCTGCTGCATCGTTCCCTGCTTGTGGGAATTCTAACATCATTTGCATTCTCTGTAAAATTCAAAAATAGCATCTTGAGATATAAAAGAATGCTAAATCTAAAACTAAAATTAGGAACGGAAAAGATGAGGATAAAGTTAGCACCTTTGAGAGAATTTAACTGCAATTCAGATGGATTCGGATCCCCGTCAGGGATTTCCTTCCACACCTCCATCATCCGGTTTATCGAATCCCTCACAATCTTCACCTGCATTTGGAAAGAAGATCTGATAAACCAGAGTACGAAAAATTGAGATGAGAAGGTATAAGATTTAGGATGCATTAATTTTGATTGTGATTGAGTTCAAAAACTGCTGTGAGAAATCTAGTGTTTAAAATTTTATGTTTCAGAAACCTTATCATAACGCCGGGCTTCAAATGAAACAAGGTAAGAGGACTTGAACCCTGCAAGGCGATCTTTTTCTGCAACAGCGAGGCGAGTGAGCGCTTCGACCGCCGCTTTTCGGGCAGCCCAGTGCTCGCTCGCGAGAAACTCCACGAGACAGGGAAGGAGGGATTGAAGCGCGGCGGGAGGCTCCGCCGCCGGCGACCGCGCTGCCGAGCAGCGTCAGAAGTGCGGGCTTCGCTCTGAAAGCAGGGCTTCTAACCAGCTTCACCAAGCGAGGAAGAAGACGATGGATATACGCAGTTACATCATTATTCGCCGGGGCGGTTTCATCCAATGCTGCGGCGAGGGAGTAAGCAGCTGCGGATTGAGGATTTGAGGATTAAGATCCTGATAGTGAAGAAGAGCGTCGGCAAGTGGGCGGAGAATGGAGGGGATTAGAACGGAGGACGGCGATGCAGAGGCGAGGGAGCGAACGGCGTCGATCAGAGCGATTCGAACCGAGGAATCTGGATCGCGGAGGCGGCGGAGAGCGGCGGAGAGGATGCGGGGGAGATGGGGGGAGAGTAAGGAGGGAGGGAGGGAATGAGCGAGGAGTGAGAGGAGCCGGAGGGAGTGGCGGCGGAGAGGGGTTTTATCGGTGGAGCGAGTTTCGGCGACGGCGGAGATGAAGAGAGGGAGAGTGTCGGCGGTGAGGGTGCGAGCTATGGAGTCGAGATCGGCGGCGGGCGTGTCGGACAAAGGTGGCTTTTTTAGTATACGGGATTTCACAGGGGAGCTAAGGAGGAAGGAGACAAGGCATACTCGGGGATCGAGTTGTGGTGGGAAGGAGGTAGAGCGGTTGGATGATGAGCTGAGTATTGCAGAGTGTTTCGAAAATAAGAAACCGGAATGACGGGCACCGGGAAAGGGAGAAGGCAGAAGAGATTTATAATTTATTGTTATGATTGTATTTAAAAGGTTTCTTATAAATTCATGTATAAAAATTTAAAATTTATATTTGTATTTGTAATTATATGATGTTAAAAGATAAATTCAATTTTTAACAGTTTGATAATAATGATATTTTTTTTAGATGCTAAAACAAATATTTAAATGCAATAGATATCAATATGAAAGTGTACATATAAAATGGTTTCAAAAAATCAAATTTATTTGATTTATTTTGAAATTAATATTATATATGTTGAATCCAAGTGTGTCCGGGAGACTCTTCTAAGAAATATAAGGATGAGAGAAAGAGAGCGAGAGAGGGGAGCAAAAGCACAGTAAGCGTAATTTTTAATTATGAAATGAAACTCTTATTTATAGAAGTGAGTCAAAGTACACTTACATGTTGCACCACTAAAGCACATAGGTATGACTAGGGTATTTCAATGTGTACATAAATATGGCCCGTGGGGCTCATGAATATGGCTGAGCGGCTATTCGACCAGGCAACTGGGCGGCCATTAGATCGAACAACTATTTTGTCGGGTGGCAATCAGACCATGAAGGGATGTCAATTCGAGTCAATGAGTAGGGTTTGGGTTTGACCCGAAAATGACATGACCCGAATAGTCAACCAGACCCCTCCCCAAAAAAAAAATGTGTTGAAAACTATGACCAAAAATCGACCAGAACCCGAGCTTGACCTGCTAACCCGAACTCGCCCCGAACTTTCTTGCTTTACTCGGGTCGGTTTGGTTTGAACGGGTCATGTTTGGCTTTCAACTTCAAACCAAACTGACCCGAATAATAAGAAGGTCAAATTCTAGGACACGTACCCGACTCGAAAAATATTCAGGTCTAACCAGGATATAAGAAGGTCAAATTCTAGGACACGTACCCGACTCAAAAAATATTCAGGTCTAACCAGGATTTTTTGACTCGAGTCTGAGTCGTGTTGGCATGTCGGGTCAATTTTTGACACATATAAGGTTGGGCAGTAGTGAGGCTGGGCAACAGTTAGGCCAGACGACTGCTTATTAAGGATCCATGTTAACCGCTCAGGATTGGAAGGACCCATTTTACCTTCTTGGTCTATCCGGGTTGAAAGGCAACAGCTTCATCAGAATTAATCTGATTCAATCGCTTCTTAAAGGATGAACTACTCTTTATTCATCTGAGGTGCTCTGTCTTCCCAGTTTGTGTGGGTTGGTCGGCTAGGCATGTGGTTTTGGGTCATCCTTGGTAGGCCCCGCAGGGCCATGTCATTTCCTTCGTCATTCGTGAGATATCTTTGTGATACGTGTTCACATTTTTATGATGTATGTATTAAATTTCTCTGATTCTCTTGTTTCTTAATAGTGATTGTTACGATAAGATCAAGAGAATCTAGCATTTTGAAACAAGTTTGTTTTGTTCATGACTATTTTATGCGTAATTAATAATTACTTCTTGATTTTTGTGCCTAAAAATTATTATAAGTGCGATGTTGGAATGTGTCTTTCAAGCATTCTTTCATATTCATCATTTGTCTCCTTAGTGGTGTTGAGTACGGAGGGTGGAAAGTTTTCGAAACCCGTTGGTGAGGAGGTTTGAGCATTAGTGATCTAATTCATGAAAAAGAATGTGAGTTCAAGCTGTGCGATTGAGCGACCTGAAATGAGAGTTGTACCTAAGATGAGGGCCCCCAACCCTGTGATAGCAGTTGGATCCTCTGACTCAAATAACAGCCGCTCTGTAAAGGGTTCTTTGATGGCGAAGGGTGGCTTTCCAGTGAAGAAACATCGTGTGACTAGAAGGGGCTGTCTAGAGGACTATGTGTTGGGCCAAACTGCTTCTCCTTCAATCTTTTTATAGTTGAGGGAGAGACGGAGTCGAGAACCCACCTTTGAACGCTGACCTCTAGAAGTACAGGCGAAGGATGAGCAGAGAGTTGCTCCTGACCCTTTAGTGACTAATGCCTCTCTGCCCACTTCTCATCCTCAACCGACGGGAAAGGAGATTGAGGGAGAAATGCTCTCCTTTACTACCCCTGATCTAAACAAAATGATGGGCTCATCCTCTGGCAAGGGTACTAAGACTTTTCCACTTGTTGAGTGAGGAGCTCTTGAAGTTAGCATCGCAGTGGATTCCAAATCTGATGAGTCGGCCATGATCTAAAACAACTTAGACTGACCTTGGCCAAAAATTTCTAACAAAATACTTCCCTCCATCTAAGGCTGCCAAGCTTAGGAATAATATCACTTCGTTCACCCAAATAAATGGAGAGTCAATTTATGAGGTTTGGGAGAGGTTTAAAGAACTACTGAGGAGGCATCTACACCATGTCTTCCCATAGTAGCAGAATATCCTGAGCTTTTACAATGGGCTTGTAGGTTCCCTTAAGTCCTTTATAGACACTATAGTTGGGGGTCATTAATGTTCAAACCTTACGAGGAAGCTTATGAGTTGATAGAGGAGATGACAACCAACAATTTTTCAATTCTGAGAGAGCCACGCCCCAAAAAGTTGCTAGTGTGCACAACACCGATGTTCTAGCTATCTAGTCACCAAAGTAGTTGTTATTTCTAAGAAATTAGACATTTTTTGGGTGAATTCTATGCAAGGATCTCCATTAAATCAAGGGATGATATATGGATCAGTGTTAGATTCTAGCATGACAACTTTAGAGGCTATAAATATCATAGGAAACCAAGCTAATAACCCTTATTCAAATACCTACAGCCCCGGCTAAAAAAACCATCCAAACTTCCAATGAAGCGACAACAACCAAGATGTATGAAACCAACAGTGGGGGAACTCTCAAGATAACAATGTAAGCAATTTGAACAACCAAGGAAAAAACCTTCCAGAAGCAACCATACCCACCATGATTTTAAGCCAATACCCAGTCGATATATAAAAAGTCACCCTGGGAGGAGCTAATGATTTAAATGGGGAACTAGTTATAAAGTCAGTCTGCACTTATTTAAAACATAGAAAACCAATTATGTTGTATTTCTAATACAACATTCAGAGCAGTAACTGTCAGAAAGTATCATCGGGTCTCCAATATATTATGTTTGGATTATGTCATTGTGCAATATTTGAGATACTTAATTACCATATACATAAGCTACTTCGTTACGCAACAGAGCCACCTAAATGCTTCATCACTCAGCATAGTCCACTAGAACACGCCATTACACCACAAAGTCCACCAGAATACTTTGTTTCTCAATAGAGTCCACCAGAATACTTCATTATTTAATAGAGTCCACCAAAAAATAGCAAGCAGGGGGCAGTGTACGTCAACGACCAGCAAGCAATAGTTGACGGTGGTCGGCGGCTACAGAGGCCGAAATTTATTGTTGAATCTATAGTCTATAACAATACTAGGATTCAACTCCTCTTCCCCCTTCAAGTGAAGAAATAAGCTCTATTTATAGGCTCTAGGTGATGAGCATTTTAGCCATTTATCGAATGACTTCCCCAACCACCTCATTGAATGAACCATATCAGCCCCCTTTGACCATATGAGACCTTTTAATGATTTGAGTTCTTTAAGGACCTTCGAATTAAATGAGCATAGACTAGCTGGATTCCACTCGTTAAGACACTCGAATTGATAATAAGTACATCAAATTTGAACTTTCTATGACCCATCAATTAATGATTTGGAGCCTCCAAATTGCTTTAATAACTTGATTTAGACTTGATTGGACTCAAATTAAACAAGTTTTGGTATCATCATGTTCATATTATCGAGTCGGTCAATCTAACACTTTCTATGACCCATCAATTAATGATTTGGAGCCTTTAATAACTTGATCTAGACTTGATTGGACTCAAATTAAATAAGTTTTGGTACCATCACATTCATATTATCGAGTCGGTCAATCTATTTATAAGCTAGCTTAAATCGACGCTTTGCATGTTCTTTAATTTGAATGGGAAATTTTTTAAAAAAAAAATACCTCATGATTCATGTCAAATATCTTAAGGTTCCGATCAAATGATAAAATTAATTTGTGATTTTATATCAGATTAATAATGAATTTAATTAAACTAATTTTTTGTTTCAAACAATAAACCAAAAAAAAAGCTTGCTGCACGGCCATTAGGTGAGCTAATAAATTATATTAGACATGAGGTAATGGATACTTTTAATGTATTTATTCATCAATTATTCCTAAAGTGATAATGAGTTTGGTGACTTTGGTCAAGCCAAATTTGCTGTAAAAATTACTTTGAGTGGTATGTATGTAAATATTTCTTTTTTTATTCATATCTCATTTTTTTTAAAATATTTATCATGATAAAAATTAATTTACATTTTTGACCGTATAATTTTATATTAAAATTCTAACTGCTGGGCAAGTTAAAAGTTGCTTTCTCATTGACTTTCAACTCAAATAATGATTAATGCCGGTTGCTTCTTATGTTAATGTCGGTGCATTTTATGATGATTAATTAATAAGGTGTGTATATATATATATATATATATATATACACAATGATGATGATTTTTTATGTGATTTGAAAGATTTTGGTAGTATAAATATAGGTGTTTGATATGCAAATTCATAGGAATTGAGGGGTTTGTATGTAGGGCTGTAAACGAGCCGGGCTTGAGCGACCTCAGGCTTGGCTCGTGCTCGGCTCGTTCGAAGTAGCTCGTGTTCGAAATCGGCTCGTGAACAGTGTGTTCATGTTCGGCTCGATTTAA